TGGGGCGCGTCAGCGGCCCCCGGGGCTGCCCCGCGCCAGGGGCGAGCTTTGAGGAGGTGCGCGGGTCCCTCGGAGGAGCGCTGCAGGGTCGGCTACCTAAGATTACACTGCAAGAGCGCCCCAGCAGTGCACTCGACTTCTACTCGCTTCAATAAGGATACGGCTCTTCCTGGGAAAATACGTACTTGATATAAGATGACATTCCTGAGAAAAGACAACATCTTTCTTAACTGATAATTTAAATTTGTGACCGTTTTCCCAACAAGGATAAAAATTCAAACAACAGGAGGCTGTGAGAGGTTCTCCAGGCATCCCGTGCAGCGTATTGCAGTGGAACACTTCACAGCATCACGATGCTTTTTAATAATGGAATTTCAAATAGTGAGCCAACAGCTGCTACTTTTACAAGTTCATCCCAAGAGAAAGTCCTTGCATCATGCTGCACGCACTTTGCTGAAAGCTACCCTAATGTGGCAATGAATAATGTCTACTGCAGAACCTTCAACAGATTTAGAGAATGCCGTGCCCATTCTCCCCTCATGGCACCTTTTTAATAGTTCCTTAGCACAACTGAATTCCAGCTTGCTTTTTTCTTTCACTTTCATGCTGTGTTCTCCCTTCCAGTAGCTTTCCAGTTTTTCACACTTAGCAATGTTTTCTTCTTAAATGTCTGTCTTTCTGAGTCACTGTTTTTTTTAAAAAGAAGTCACAAAGTAATCCTGTTCAGCCTCTCCGGAGCAAGCAGTTTTGGGGCTTTTGTCTCCTTTATGCTTGAAACACAGTTAAACCAAATGCTTTTCTCTCTTGGTGACAGCACTGCAAGCTCCGGGTACACAGTGCTGCTGTGCTCAAGCTGTGATGTTGCCCAGCTGCAGCTGCAAGTCCGTAGAAGGACAAAGCTTTGCGTTATGTTGTTTCACAAAAGTGACAATTACTGTGTTTTTGTTATCTGCCTTTTCACTGAGATGGAAGAAACCATCTCTTCAGCTGGACTGGGGGCATTAATTTCAAACACATACAAACTGAGGCACTTAGAAGCCTGGACTGACAGGAGAGGGCTCCTCGTGTGCTCTGGCAGTCCAAAGGCTGAGCCTATGCCTGCAAGCAGGGAGGTTCAAATGCTATGACCAGGGTGGCAGGGGACCCTCACGCTATGCTGTGACACCTCTGTGAGGAAAGCTGTGATCCCAAGCTCTTCAGCCATATGCTTGCCTGCTTTCTTTGCTTGCTGTAGCTATGCCAGATGAATCAAGTGCCAGGCAATGCAGGACAGATTTAAAAAGCACGATGCCAGGTGCCAAGAATATGGTAAGCAGCAGTGTTTTGTGAACCTCATTCAGGTTGCGCAGTTGCTACGAATCTAGGCTCTTAACTTCAGCACATCCCAAAGAACAATAAAAGCCTCTCTTTCTGGTAAGCCTCTAAACAGAAGCCTTCTTACAACTGAGCAGCAGCAACAATTCTGAAATGGCAGATGGTCTCCTGTAGCTGGATATGATGATTTAGAGGTCCAGCTGGCCTCTCTTACAGCATCATATATCCTGTGACACAAGATGGACCTGTGATATGTACAGGGGAAGGGGGCACCTCTCAGCCCAAAAAGCTGTTATTTAGCCCTAAAACAGCTAGGAGGGTTGGGGGAAAAAAAAAAAAAAAGGTCAATTAAATTGCTTCTGTCCTAAAAGTTTGGGGTGTTAAGCCACTTCCCTGTAAGGTGCTTTTCCTACAGTAACAACATCTGGACTCCAGACCCAGGTGCTGAGTGGCCTCCTCATACTGCCTGACTACAGTGCGGTTCTGAGGGTTAGGAAGGAGGGCAGAGTGTTGCTCATTGGTTTTGCAGCCTGTCTCTTCTTCTCATGGGCACTCACTTCCCCTCCACACACTCCCCTCCATTCCCCACTGCAATTCAGGCCAAGTTCTGATGACTAAATGAGCTTACTTACAAGGTTTGAAAGTCACTAGTAAGTTCAGAAGCACCACTACATTGAAGAGCTGAAAGAAAGAAGTACATTGCATTGTAACAGGAATTCAATGTTACCAAACACTGGCAAGTGCTTCCTGAATTTTCTGACAGTGCAGTCCTGAGCTGTGGGATTTCAAGAAAGCATAAGGTGCCAGTGACATTTCTTTGATGCTCTCCAGCCAATTGTTACTACAGTATTGACAGGTCTGTTTATCTTCCAGCTGGCAGGATTGGCTGTCATTGCCTTTGGTCTATGGCTGCGGTTTGGTGGGGTTATGGCAGACTTTGCTTCAGACAAAAAGTCTCCGGAGTATTTCTTCATGGGTAAGTTAAAGTGCCTGTGATGACAGTAGCCTTTAGCCTTGGTTTCATCCTGAGGCATGTGACACACCTTATGATTGAATTATATGAAGGCCAACAATTCCTGGGCTGAACTACCCAAAACTGGACCTTCTGCTGCTGTGTGTCATGTGCCTGACGGCCTTCATCCTCTCTCTGCTTGGCATCAACTTCCTTAGGCCTAACTGAACTCTTCTTTCAGATATGATCCAGTCCTCCCTAAGTGAATTGTGCTAATACTGTCAGAACAGAAGTTGAGATGGCTCAGAGACTCCTGGAACATGGGCCTCACCAATATAGCCTTTCTGAGTTTTCTGTGCAGCTGCTAACGAACAAAACAAGTGTCACTTCTGAATGCTTCTAATACCAGTGCAGCAGTAAAACATTTGCTCACCAGTTCTCCCTCTGTCTGCACACAGAGGCGTTCAGTGTGACTTTTAAGTATCAGAGCAAGTCCTTCCACAGCTGAACAGTAAAACTACAGAGTGTTCAGTCACCTCAAGAACTGTTTGTCCAACCTAGGCAGGAATCAACTAGTTCTCCAAGCCTGCAGAACTGGTATTGGTCATATCTAATTTTACGCATTTAAGATAATTTTTCTTCTCCCTAGGTTTTCCAGTTGGGTTTTCTGGAAACGCCACCTGTGTTACATATCTACAGACATCCTTAAGTAGCAGCTGTCTAGGATTGCCAGTAACTGCATTTCTTTGTCCACTGGCAATTGTAATGTGTTTTTATACCAGAAGAGTCAGATTTTTTTCTGGTTTAATATATCACTGTCGTGGTTGAGCCCCAGCTAGCAACTAAGCACCACACAGCCGCTTGCTCACTCCCCCTCCCCCAGTGGGACGGGGGAAGAGAATTAGAAAAAAAACTCATGGGTTGAGATAAAAACAGTTTAATAGGACAGCAAGAGAGAAGGAAACAACAATGATAGCAACAATAATAATACCGACAAAGGAATGTACAAGAACAAGTGATGCCCAATGCAGCAATTGCTCACCACCCGGCGATCGATAAGCCCGTCCCCGAGCAGCGATTTCCACCCCCCTGCTAACTCCAGTTTATGTACTGGGCATGACGTCGTATGGTAGGGAATATCTCTTTGGCTAGTCTGGGTCAGCTGTCCTGGTTGTGCCCCCTCCCAGCTCCCCGTGCACCCCCAGCCTCCTTGCTAGCAGGCCAGCACGAGAAGCTGGACTGTCCTTGACTACTTAGCAACAACCCAAAACAATCAGCACATTATCAACATTTTCTCATCCCAAATCCAAAACATAGCCTCACACTAGCTTCTGTGAAGAAAACCAGCTCTATCCTGGCTGAAACCAGGACAATCACCCCTGGAGATGGACTCACTCACTAAAATCCAATTGGTGCAAACATTTTTGCCATCTACAAATGTCAAGTGTGAATGAACCCAGTCCTGCCTTGTCCACCAAGCCGCTCTGACAGAGTGGCCAGGAATGGAAGTTGACCCAAGATGTCCTGTAGCAGTCAGTTACCCATCAAAGGAATATTGTCTGGGCTATGCAGTTACTTTAAATGCTTCAGTTCTCTTAGTGGAGACCCTGACTCTGATACAGCACAGTCCTAACGCAAAGCTTCTTTAATATATGCAACCAGGCCAACCAGACTAGAGGCACAGAGCTGACTTGCATAGTACTGTGGGAATAGATGGGTAGAATGTCCAGCAAAGTTTCTGTGGGAGTTTATGAGGCTGAATAAAACCATTCAGAGGAAAATTTGATTGGGATCTGAGGGTTACTGTAAAATACCCTGTAGCACCTCCACTGACACAGAAAGACAGGAAATGTGATTTACTTTTTCCCTTACATCTGAGCTGCTATGTCAGCAGTGTATTAGATCACCAACTTCATTTCCAGATCCAGTTTACACCTGCTGAATTTCCTATGCTGTATCTTGGAACATTTCCCTGCCTCATCCACTTACGTTTGACCCAGGAGATTCAACAAGACAGAAGGATGTTCTGGCCTTGAAAATCAAGTACTGTTGGCTTGTTAGAAGCTGGAAAGTAATACATCCTGTGATGTCAATAAGCACCACAGTCATTTCACAGCTTTGCAGTGCGTAAACAAGATATTCTTTGGTGCATTATGTACTTAAATCTCTAAAAGATTTAATATGCTTCAGTCCTGAATAGGAATTATGAAAGCTGTTCAGAGTTGTTAATTTAGGTAGTCCTGGGGAATGTTCTTGTAAAATTTTCATGATACACCATTACATTCAACTATTGGGCTGTCACAAGTATTTATAGAGCTGTATGCTGTAATATGTAACTGCTAGCAGGGGAAGTGCTAAGGAACAGGACATAAATATGTTGAGAATTTTTTACATTTGCACTTCTGACTGAATTCTAAAGCAAAATTTTGGCTCTTTTTTGTAATAGGCATTGTGCTCTGAACAGAGCATTCCTGTTAAACAAAAAAATCTTCTGCTGCCCTTCCTCATTACAAATCATGTTAAATGGTGTTACTTCTGAGCATCTGATGGGGCAGCCATTCAGAAGTCTGAGTCTGTTAACAATCTGTGACTAACGCAACGGTAAAAGAATGGTGGCAAGTTCTTTTTTTGCAGCAGACAAGGCCCTTGACGGTCATGCTCAAGAACTTTACCTCTCTAAGAGGTTTCAGCTCTGAGTCTCCCTTGCCAGTTGTGTATTGTGCCCTTCTCACAGAGACTTACTGATTTGGCTTTCTGCGTCTACTCTGTAACATGCATTCTGGGTGACAGCCAGAATTTTGCATAGGAGTTCTCAATACGGAACACTGTGCAGCACACAAGGAGCAGCTGCTCAGAGGGCTGGAAGAGAAAGCAGGTATCAGTATGACTTGGAGATATAAACATACGGCCGTATATTTTAAAATAATTTCTTTAGCTCTATTCCACTGACCACTTTTGTGGCTGCCTTGTGATAACCCAAGGCCTTGTGATCAGATCAGCTTTGTATCAGTGCTTGAAACAACAGTGTAGCTGCATTCAGAGTTTGCTTTGTAGGTTGAAGCACTGTCCAGAATCACCATCTTGTGGAAAACACGTCATCTTCTTGCTTCTGAAGAGCAGCACATTCTGCTCTTTTTGTACCTGGACTGAGCTGCCAGCAGAATCTAACCAGCTTCTCTCTTGTGCTTCTTTATGATTTTTTTTTTTCCTGGATCTGAGATGTTTTAGTTTAAAATAATTGAAAATTATATCCTTGCATTTTCCATTCGGCCAGAATAAGTCTCCTTAAATAGCCCTGTTTCTTTAGACTGTTCTTTACCAGCAGTCCAGCTGTCTTTTCTGCCCCCTGGAATAGTTCGAGCCATGACTTGGCTACCAGGCCTGTTCATCTTTTCCAGCCACTGGTATGTTTTTGTTGGTTTGAGAACAACTTACAGGCAGCAGTGCTGCGGTCAAGCACATATGTGTTCTTAGTTTTCTGTTGCTTGTGGTTTTGTGTTCAGTGATCCATATTCCCCACTGCAGCTTGCAGTTTTTTAACCTACAACATAAAAGATTGGAATTGGAACTCTTTGACCTATCCAGTCTCCATCCACTTTACCAGATGTATCTTACACTGGAACAGCCTCCTAAAGTTGGACATCCTCTCTCTGCAGCTCCCCAACTTTTGGAGTTCCCACTGCAGTGGCAGGCATGACAATATTTTTGTGTTACTCCATCTTACAGTACATTGCTTGTGCCTGTGCTTCAAGTGGTGAGGCAAAACTGTAGCTTTCCTGTTCTACTGCAGTTCAGCTCTGGTAGGTTTTATTTATTCCTCTCTTAGCTACACTTGAGAGAAAAAAAAAAAGAAAGAAAAAAGACGACGGTAATTTCAGCAAAGGTCAGTAGCTGGGCAGTTGGCTTTTATCTGAGCTGTCTCTGACACTGTACTGACCAAATGGAGAAAAGATCTGTAGAATAAAGGGAATTCACTTGGATTGCTTGTCCTTCTTGAGAGTCCTGTACCAAGACTCTGGCGATTTTTTTACTGGGCAGGAAAGTCTGCAATAATCAGAAGGAAAAGTAAGATGCTTGTGTACACCCAAGATGTCAGCATTGCTGTCTCACAATGAATTGGTCCTTAATTAATAATCTGTAATAGCGCTGAAGTGAAGACAGAGTGTCTGCTGAGTGCAAGTTAAGCGTTTGTCAAGTGAAAACTAACACAGGGACTTTTTAAGGGTCAGTTCAAGGCACTTATTCTCCTCTCTTTGCTTTTGGTGGATGAAAAGTGTGTTGTGGTTCCTTGGGCAACATAGGCGATGCACTCTCTGAATCCCTAATAAATTAAGTGCAGAGGGTCATATCACTGCCAGTAGCAATAAAAATGAAATGTATGTACTCAACAAGCCCCATCAAGAATGGTAACAAAAAATGATGAATGTGAATTAATCAGTCTGGAGGACTTTCTCATAACTGGCAGCACTGAAGCATTGCTTCTCCTGCACAGCCAGAGCTTACAAACTTTCTGCTATGTTACGTTCTCTTTGCTCCAGTTCCATGATCCAATCTGTGGTCCAGGCATTCATCAGAGCCAAAACAGTTGTGGACAGAAGTTTCAGGGTGGCTGTGGCTTTTTCTTGGAGTCTTTGAGAGCATGAGTGATCATTCTGGCTTTGAAAGGTACAGTTAGATGGTGCATGCCTTTGGATATGAAGTCATGTCTGGAGTTGAAGGGTATTAGTAGTTTTTCTCCATAGTAGTGGGTGCCCATACAAACAGGAGTTGGCCAGCAGGTAAATGCATGTAAACTGCAATTCTCTGCTCCAGTGCCTCATTTTGTTATAGTTCTATTAATGTATTTTGGAGTCAAGCACTACACCCTTAGTCAACAGTATTTTCTCTCCAAAATCCATAGCCTCTCAAAGTCTATCAACCTTTAAAATGAGAGCTATTGGCAAAGTAGCCTCTGTGTAGAGATGCAATACCACAAGAAGAGCATCATATTGTCCTGCCATCATGTGTATTGCAGAGGCTTTTAG